AGGAAGAATAGCTTGACATTTTTCACAGAAGTAATGCACTTCTGGTGGAGTAATTATTTCAGTAAACTTTTTTAATAAATAGTACTTAGATTGATGTATAGGATGATCAGGTGTATGACAATTAATTAAATCAATCAAATCTTCTAGAGCTCTGCTTGTCAATTTGTGACGCAACGCAAATGCAAGAAGAAGTAGTTCACTCTCCTCAGTTGTAACTTTGCTATTATTAAAATAACGTGTGGTAGTTTCATCTGCCAGGTCCTCGGCCAGGTCACTATTGACCTATTAAAACATATTTTAAAAACATGCGTTCTTTAATTTATCATGTAAATACATCACAATAATTATTCATTTTATTACCAGAAATTCCTGTTGTGCATTATCGTTATCTTCAATATTTTCATCAATTAGTATATTATTACTATCTAAATCTCTTTCCGAAACATCTATATCTACTGATAAAGCATCTGTAGAATCATCTGTATGATTTCCATTGGGCTGTAAAAATATAAATAGGAACATTTTATATTATTTATTATTACACAAATAATACAAAGTTAAATTCAAAATCCCTCAAAATTGTGAAGTAGTTTAATTTGTATATAAACAATTATACTTACTAGGTACTCTATTTGAATTAATTAAACAACAATATATTTAGATATTTTAGTACAAAGCTGGGTAAATTAATAATTTTTTTTAACTAGTTAATGTTAAGTTACTTTAGTAGGTACTTTACTTTCTGAAATTTGCCAAATTTCTAAGTTAGTTAGTTACATGAAAATAGTCTTTTAAGTCAGAGTAGAAGTAAGAAGTTAGTTTTTTGTTTTTAGTTTAAAATATAAATTTATAAACGGGTTCGTTTAAATGTAAAGTATTAATATTACACACCGACAATAGCCCACTAATACACAGCCACCAAAATGTAGAAACTATTTATATATTTAAGCTATATTGGTTATACTTTGTAATATGTATTATAAGAATTACAAGTTATAACTAATATAAAGAATTTATAAGAAATAATATGACAATAAAAATGTTATTATCATAAGATTGAAATCTATCAATATTCATTAACTATCGTTATCACAGCTGCAGATATTAGATTTAGGTAATAATAGTTGGCACTCAGCAGTTTTACAGAACATTTAGATCTTTAAATGAAAAAGAACTACAAAAAGAACTAGTTATTTATTGTTTTTAATGAGTAATATTTAATTATTTTACACATTCAATTCAACTCATTCAATTCAATTCAAGTTACTAAAATATTATAAACTAAAACTTTCTAACAAGTTATTAGTGTCCAGCTTTGTTTTAGTATTACTCTGTTGCTTATATATTATAATAATATTCTTTCAATTAATATATATAATAATAAAACACAATGTTAAAAATGCAAATTAATAGTTATTTAAAATTGGTAATAACTGTTGTTCTTATATACATAGTATTTATAAAATTAAATTAATAAAAAATAATTAATACTATAATTTACTTCATGATTCACTTCAAAGATTGGATTGATGTTTTGGTCACTATTATTATCATTTACATTATTGGGAGCATCATCTGCAACTGCTTCCAAGTTTCTGTTTAATGCAGGTCTCAAATTATTTTCCTGAGTAAACATAAAATAAAACAATACAGAATATTAAATAGGTAATAAATACTTAATAGGTGTACAGCATTTAATGATACCCTAACCATGTGGACCTTGTCTTACATAAGATACAGTCTGAAGACATTAACTGTATAATATTAATGAAATCCACCCACAAACAATTAAAAAAAAATGAAGTATATTTACCTGTTGTCTTCTAAACCACTTAGTTTGTCTAGAAACTGTTGGTGTTGGCGATCCATTATTTCTGATTGTAAGGTACTTTTTATATTTTTTTGGTACGTAATTATCCATTTCTTTTTATTTGTATTAGTGCGTAAATATGATACAGAATTTATTTTTTACTTATATAATATTAGAGAAATTATTTAATATAAAGAAAATATCATAGAATACGTGTTGACGTGTCGTGAGGCTAAAAATATTCCTTGTATAATAAGTAATAAGTATTAAGTAGGTAATAACATTGATTATAAATTATAATATTATTTATAATCAATGGTAATAACTATGATTTTTCTTTGTTTACATTTTAGTTTTTATAATCATCATAATATTGTGATAATATAAACTATTAATAACTTAATATGGGTATATTGTATATAGCCCTGATACGCGCACGCACACGCCTCCGTTCACCGTTGCGTTGACACCAACTATACGTTACGTTCCAGGCACGGCGGCGCAGACCGCACAATATAGTAAACGGTTATAATATCCATAATATTCATTTACTGAAATAATATGCCGTAGCGGTTTTTGCTTTGTTTTAACGCGATCTATGGTCATATTCTGTTGCGTACTTGCGTCATTGTAACATTATTAACAGTTTTATATTGAGTGTTAACATTTTTTTTTTCGCCCGTCATTGTTTTTTGTTAAAATATCGACATCGTCATTTTTAAAATGTGTTCAATTAATGAAAATGAAAAATTAATAAGTGCTATGAGCGATGAAAATTGTGGACTATTTGAGTTTACCAATGAAGGTAATTCTGTGGAAGTTGGATTCTTATGCTGGATTCAGACTACACCATGCACAGAGGATAAAATTAATAATCAAGATTTAATCAGTGAAAAAACTGAAATAGTTTTATTTTGGCCAAGTAATATTGATGTGACGTATGCTTCAAGTATGGTTAAAAGATGTAAAAAAAAAGATATGCAATGGATAAAAGTTTCGGTATAATTGCAGTTTAGCTACCACGAGATTTTTTCAAATTTTTTTTTCGAAACCTAGGTAAATCAACGTTTTAAAAATGATGGTGCCAAAAAAAAATTGCGCAAACTCTTAGTTTTTGAGTTATAACTGTTAGAAATTCAAAAATTCCCAAATATTGCATTTTGAATTTTGAATTTTTTTTGTGGTAGACTTATGTATTTTGACTATTTAAAAATGATGGTGCAATCAGAATTTGTCGATCGAATTGAGTTTGAAAGTTATAGCGGTTTTAAGTTAAAAATTTTGGATTTTTAAAGAAAAATTTTTTTTGTTGAACCAAGGCGCCAAGTGAGGTAGTTGCGCCTTACCTGCTCCGGTTATATTTTTCAGATATATAATTTCTCTGAATCCAAATATCGTAAATATAAATGTTTCTGTAATTGGCAAAAAACAACTTTGTTTAATTCCGAGGTTCACCTGAGGTGGTTTTACACAACAAATCGGGGGATATTTTCGATTTGCGGAGCGGAGCGACGGCGCCGAGGAGCGTAGCGACGAGTGCCAATACACTCGTGATCACTGCAACTTTTAACTTTCATAACTTAAAACCGCTATAACTTTCAAACTAAATTCGATCGACAAATTCTGATTGCACCATCGTTTTTAAATAGTCAAAATACATAAGTCTACCACAAAAAAAATTCAAAATTCAAAATTTGGGAGTTTTTGAATTTCTAACAGTTATAACTCAAAAACTAAGAGTTTGCGCAATTTTTTTTTGGCACCATCATTTTTAAAACGTTGATTTACCTAGGTTTCGAAAAAAAAATTTCAAAAAATCTCGTGGTAGCTAAACTGCAATTGTTCCAAAGTTTCAGCTATACTTTTAGCACAAGGGAGTAAGTAATACAATTCAGTTTAAATAATATATATTAACAGTGGCGCACCGAGAAATTTTGAGTTAACAAAAGTTAACTGCTTTTTTTGATAATTAAATATGTAAAATGTATTGTAGATAATACAGTTTATTTTAAAAATTTTAAATCAAATCTAAGTATGTACTGATATTATTATTATTTATCTACTTATAATTTACATAAGCACCCACTACACCAGTCATTTACACACACCATAATATCTCCCCGAGAGCCCGATAGTTACATTAGGTATTTAATAAATTATTAACCTTTCTGAGCGTTACTGTATATTACCTACTAATTATTCCAATCTATAACTTAAATAACATATTTTGAATTTTCTTACTTCAACTTGTTATACAGATTGGATTGAAATGTGTGAAAAAAGAAAGTATTATATAGCACATAATAAAATATCTCCATGTCGCTCTAAACGTCATGAAAGACATATTATTTTATCAGAATCAACTGTCACCGATAAAAATAAAATGGTAATAAAATATTGAATACAATATTATTTAGCATAATCTTTAAACTTTGTATACCTATTATGAAATATCATGAGGTATTCATTAAAATAACTATAATGTTTAGGTTACAACCACAAATGCTTCAGCTAAACGTAAATTTGCAGGGCTAAGCTCATCAAGTGTGTTAAAAAAATTAAATTGCAAAAAAGGAGCAGTTGAACCATGCGGATCAAATTTTGAGGATCATGTTGATAAGTTAGAGGTGGGTTAAAATAATATAAATATTATTATAATAAATACAATTATTACACTTAGCAAATTATTACATTATGAATTTAAATTACAAAATATTAAATAATAAATTAATAATTTAAGATAAAAATGTAGGTATTGATATGTATTAGGTTATAATTGAAATTAATAATTCATTTTGTTATAAAGTCTATATCTAAATAAATCTAATAATCTAACGGTCCTTATAAAGTTTTGAGAATATGAGTAGGTAAAGTTTTCCTACTTTTTGTCATGTTAATTAGGAATTGGTTGTTTAAGCATTGATATTATAACAATATACTTTCAATCAATTAATAATTTTAAATACTTTGTATACATAACAAATATTTAGGTACCTTTTATGTAAATACAAAAATTGGCCCAAAAAATTATATGTAGTTGACTAATTTTAAGTGTGTTTGCTTAATTTAAACTTTATTCATTTTGGTTTTAATTCAGCCCCAAGAAGATGTAGTCTATTCATCAGATGATGAAAATCTGTCATTTCCACTTTCAAAGTTATCTAAAGATGATCTGATTATCAAAGTGAAAATGCTAATAGTTCAAAATAAAGATTTAAGGTCCACTATTGCTAAACAAAGAGTGATGATAGATATTTCTGAATGTAAGTATGAATATTGATTTATATTGATGTACCTATTTTATCATAAAATGTTGTTATATAGTCACATATGTTAAACATACTTTAACATAATACATACATGATTATATTATAATTTGTTTCACTATTTCTTCATATTTATTATATTTACACCTTTTATTTCTGTTTAGCATTTCCAAGAATACATGAGCTTTCAAATTTAGTTTTAAAAAATTTGGAAAGTATTACAGAAAAACAAAAAATTTCAATTTCCGCTTCCGCTTCTCCTTTAAAAGCTAGAACAAATATTTCTTCAATATCTATGGTTTCAAAGGTAACAAGTAAAAATGTAGTGAAGGACGTTTCCAAGGTTGATAATGTGGATTTCTGTAACCAAATGCAACCTGAATTAGTTTCAAATCAACCCTACAATATATTAGAGGTGTGTAAACTATATGTTTAAGATATATACATATTATGTATATTTGACGTTTTATTAAGCTTAAATCTATTTATAGTTATTTTTCATTGTTCATTTATTTCAAGGATTTTAATGGTATTCAGAAAACTATTGTTATTGAAAAGGACACAGTTGTTGGAGTGAGCAAAGAAATTGTTGATAAACCAAATCAGTCAACAATTGATAAAATAGCAAACCCAAAGGTAATGGAAATTGTAAAAAAAGTTGCTTCTAGTGCCATGGACCAATCTGAGGTATTTGGTATACTAAGATTAAACTAATATTTGTATTTTCATATTACTATAGGTAATAAAAAGTTATATAATATTTTGATATATTATAATCTTCGTTTCTTTATAACAATATGTATACTACTAAATTACTATATATATATTCTAATATTATTTTTGTTATATTTATTTCTGTATTTATTTTCAGGTGTCTTCAGAAAATTGGGTTGAACTTTGGCCTAAATCAGGAATAGAAGTTAACTCATTCGCATTATCATCAATTAACCGTAAATGCCCATCTAAAATGATATCGGATCTTATGATTATTTTATTCACTGACGATGAGCTACGCAATGGATCGGTTACTGGCAAAAAAAGTAATTTCATAAAAAGTGGAGAACTAAAAAAACAGCTTGATGTCCACAAAGTAAAGGCAATGAAAGGTATCAATGTTTAATTTTTTTTAATAAATAGATAAATTATACAAATTTGAAATAATCAATTATCCTGTTATACATATATTATACCTTATTATGATATTTCAGATTTTACACAAGATATTTTCAGAGATGTTACAGTTGAAATTATAAACAAAGCTATAAGAACAAAACTAAATAATTTTTCAAAGAAACCAAAAGCCCTAAATTTCAATGCTGGTTCAGCTACCAGGCTTACAAATACCATTTAAATGTATAATTAATTATAATTTATATTCTATATATATATATGTGTGTGTGTGTGTCAAGCGTTAACACTCCGTTCAATTAGTA